AACAACATGGTGAACTTTACCAGGCCCTTGCTAACTATGTGTACCACGACATGGCCCCCGCGTTCATTCTAGAGAGTGCCATATTTGGTATTATCGTCCAATATTTGCAGAACAAATGACCTGGGCTAACCTCGTACACAGGAATGGCGTCATTATCTGCGTCCGACGAGGTCGTCACGTCGAACGTGGAATTGATAGGATGGCTTCCTTTCTTGTTACCGGAGGAGTCGACGGTCCATTGGTGATACATGCCCACGAATGAGCCGTTGGTCAGAGCAGAGACACCTGAGGATACGACGAGGGTGATCATTTTGTTTACAGCTTCGTGGAGCCAGTCGAGTTTACCGGTGTAGACGACGGTGGAAGGGATTCGAGACGTGTCGCTGTATTGAAGTATCAGAGTGTGAGGGCCAGAGCGATCGTTTGTAATGTCTCGCATCGTTGTACTGAGGGTTCTGAAGTCACGAGAGACCACAGCGTCGAAGCTGTAGTAGCCGAAAGAGAAACTGAATTTGTATTCGTCGGCGACTGTGTTGACGATATTGTTGATCATGCTGAACTACGAAAGGATAAGAGGGTCAGCACGGTGGTGGTATGAACGTGATAGGGCCGATGTAAAACATTACTACGCGAGAGGTATTTTGTTTCCCCTTGCTATTACTGGGATCGATGGTCCACTGCCAGTGTGCGCAAATGGGATCCTTTTGAGCGAAACCAGCGGGAACCACAATAGTGAAATCTTCCTTTTCCACCAGGTGAAACCAGCTGAGTTTGCCGTTGTAGATGAACATTGTCGTTGGAAGAAGAATGCTGTAGAGAAGGATGAGGGTCTGCTGTGAGGGAACCTTCAAGGCGAGAAGGTGTTCAGGGGGTCCGCAGTCTCTTCGTATTCTTCAGACTCATCGCTCATATAGTGAATGGCGCAAGAGAGCCTACGTAGCGAATGAAGTTCTATTCTTAATGCGCATTCTGAGACCATCAGATATGGGCCAAGGGCATGGTCATATCGATGGCGCGGAGCGAGAAGAGATATCTAGAGCCTCTATCAATGTTCGTTGACGAGAAGGTCCACATAAATTATGACGAGAGGTGAATACGAGGGCCCCAAAGACAAGAGTTTTGCGGAGACCGCATTCTCTATATGGATAACCAGGGCTGGGGGCAAATACAGAGACAGAAGCGATTCAGACTCAGAAAACGTGGTTGGACGAGCGTGCTACTCGGCCTCGGCTGCATCTAGCTCTTCGTCGCTCTCGACTTCTGCTGGAAGGTGGTTAGGATTGGAAGCAGGAAGGTCCGTTCCCTCGAGCAAGTCTGTAGAGCATTCGTCGATTATATTGTCAGTGTGAGACGTATGAACGCTTGCGGACGACAGACCTCGCTGCTGCCTTGACTCCTCGTAACTCTTCTCCAGTTCTTCCATGATCGTCTCTTGCATTTGGCTGACTTCTTCGGCTGTGTTGCACGTCCTGTATCGCTCGATGAAAGGCCTGTGTCACAAAACAAGGTCCCTCAGATCGTGTATGAAATACCAGTATGAAGTCACGCACCGATTGACCTTCCAGAACGACCCTCCCCAGCCAAAGTCCTGCAGTAGCCGCTCACCATAGGAATCGAAGCCGGTAAGGTAAAATGAGGCTGCTAAAGCCTCGACACAGTTGAGCCGCCACGGCTTTCCATAATTCGTTGGATTGGTGGCGACGAGGTAAGGTACTGTGATGAGAATCTCTTTAAGTCAGAAGCATGCAAAAACCAGCGAGAGTGAAAGGCACACGTACACAAGCGCTCATGAGGACTTGCAATTTTTCCGAAAGGAATATCGTCAAGACGTGCCCAAGAGCATTCGACCACTGCGACCCCATTCTTCGCTACGATCTCTCGGTCGGAGGGACTTAAGACCTGTTTACCCTTGGGACTATAAGACAAAGCGATGAGAGAAAATATTGATATAGGAGGAAACGTGACGCACGAGAGCACTATACCCCTGAACCGCGAGCCCACTCTAAGTTCCTCGATGAGTCCGAGTCGAGCCAACTTCTTGCCTGAGCACCTGCGAGGGTCACAGTGGTCGAAATCCTGGGTAAAATGTTGGCATGTCACTGATTCAGCATTTAAAAATAATCTGGTACATACCCACATTGCTACAGGAACGTCAATAGTGATTTCTGAACAAACAAAATATCGTCTCTGATGTCAGCTCTTCATTTCAAGCAATAATCGAGAGGGGACGCACTGACTAAATCATCCTCATCTTCACTTTCTCCCTCTTCATTATCGTTGGATCCTTCCACAACATCGATCGCACTCTCTGGCCGTTCTCCCTCTGGATAATCGTAACGTCTACGACCAGGTCCTCCGTGGTGATTGTGGCCCCCTCTTCCTCCACGCTTTCCTCGTGAACCGCCTCGCCCGCGACTTGAGCTTGATGAAGCTTTCTTGGCCATGTGATATGATATTTTGGATGTTTTCTGAAGATAGCAAGATGGAGCAGACGTTTGGAGAGTACCTAATCAATAAAAGTAGTTGAAAGTGCTGAGACAAAACAGGACGGCAATCCCCGTGGCACTGAGTGCTCCGTTCATCGGCCATTTCATCGGTTGCTTCAAGTTCACGCTCATACGGCAGCGTTTGGCTGAAGTTCAACCCCTCTTCTTGCCCTCTTCAGTGTTCTGATCCGTCTTTCATGTTTCTTGTTTATGTATCATAATCTATGTTCACTCTAGCTAATTTGTCCTGCGAGCAGTGATTGGGCGTCATCTCAAACAGATATCGATGCTCCTTCCCCCCTTCCCTCATCCGCGATTATTCGGCAACCCTCGACTTGGGAACGTTATAGCGTTCATTTACTGAACAATGTAATGGTAAATATGCACTTGCTGTTCGTGCTTGCTTTCCGCTTTCCACGCGCTAATACAACTCTTTCACAGCAAGCTACTGTTATCAGGTTACCTATCACACCCACTTGAAGTCATCGGGCCTCCGCGTTAACAATGTACGTTTATTCCTCTCAAGAATTTGTTCTCGGCTTCTGTTAGGCACTTCGCTATCCCTGGCCAGTGCTGTCGTACCACCAGGCTCGTCACTGTCCACGAGCACCTTCCGAGGTGCATATCGACTTGTCAATCATCTCGGTGCTACCAGGTCATCGTCGCTTTTCCTATACGACCTTCTTCTGTGCTCGGGTCTGACGGATCCTGGCCGGTGGCAGACAGATGTCGGAAGCGTACGCGGCTTTGTAGCTTGGTGCGTAGTTCCGGCCTCGTTCCCTTGCATCATGTACTTGTCTGACCTGATGTGGCTTCGCAGGCTGGACTGTCTGGTTGCAGTCTTGTGTGCTTACAAAAGGTGTGCAACCGATGTCTATCGTTTCGATTCGGGCCAGGATTAGTTGTGGGTGTCATACCACAGGACAATGCAGAAGCATTGCGTGGCGGTAGGGACCATTGATATATCGCCGAAGCATGTACCTAAGCCGAAACCCATAATATATTATTAGTATCTGAATTGTGACTAGGATATCTGGAGACATGTCTCTCCAGACACTCCAAGCTGCCATTCTGCTTCCAGATGGGCACTTGGAATCCCTTCGCTGTTCTGGACACAGAATGTATCCTGGAGCACTGGAAGCCCTGGAGAGCATCTGTATGGTCTGGCCCAGACACTTGCTGTCTTGCCGATGAGTTGTTGAGCTGGTCGTCTGGTCGTGACAAAGGCATGCACATAGGCCTCCACCAGAGCCCACTAGAAAACATGCTAGAGGATAGATTCATTTCACTCCTCGATGCTAAATGTACAACACGGACTGCGAGAATTTCGTTGTGTTGGAGGGGACTGCTGATATGTCCTTTGACTTAGAAACAAGCCTGTAATCTGTCTGTCAGTGAATGGCACGTCAACCATCGAGAGACAACGCTCACGCTATCGCAGCAATCGGTATATCCCTCTGACCCGCCGCAAGCGAACCAGCCCGTGGGGCAACCTTCTCCAACGGGAGTTCGTGTCTGCATACGTTGGTGGATCAGCAAGGACCAAAGAGTTTGAGCAGGCTAGTTGACTTACGCAGCCTTCTGCTTGAGGAATCGCAAGAACGGGAGCCGCGATCACGAGAGAGGAGACGATAGCGACGAGTGAGTGAAATTGCATGGTTGAACTGAGGCTGCAACTTTCTTTAGATTTCAAGTTGGTTGAAGTTGGTGAGGACTGCTGAGATCTATATCGCTGAGCACACATGGCTTATATACGCTCGATTCTTTGATCATGCCGCCCTAGATTCAACAGGAAAGTACACGTACTCTTAGGTGCTCATCCTATGACTGGATGTGGTGAGTCAGTTTCTGGGGCATCTTGAGGGCATCCTCAGGCTGTGGCAGCTCCAACAGTATCAGCGGCACGGGCGTTTCGCGTGTATGGACGACGAAGTTGGCACGGTGTGGTGTATCAAGCGTCGCAGAATGTGATACCATCTCTCCATCTCTTGATATCTCCAACTCGTCAAGCTATTTATCTTTGACAAAGTTGACATGGTGTGGTGTATCAAATGTCGCAAAACGTGATACCATCTCTTCATCTCTTGATATCTCCAACTCGCCAACTTGAAGCTATTATCTTCGACGAAATTGACACTGTGTGGTGTATCAAACATCGCAGAACGTGATACCATCTCTTCATCTCTTGATACCTCCAACTCTCCAAGCTATCATCTTCGGTTTTGAGTGTAAATGTAACTCGTACCGATAGGCTAACGCGCCTCGAGTCAGGTGACCTCCTTCGGCGAAGATGCCGGCCAGCATGCCGACCAGCAACGGTCCACCCAACTCCACCACGAAGTTGAACGAACAGTAGTAGCCTTCTCGCTCGATCAAATCCCTGCTCCCAATGCTGTTCCGCTAGGCGCTTTGTACCATGTATGTTAGATTCATGAGGGGCTTTGCCGTCCCTACTTAACTCGGTTTTTGCCAGGACGATGCGACAAGGCTGGACTCGCTTACTCTTGCCAACATGACGTCCATCCAGTCTGTTATGGATTCTCTCCCCACCAAACAACATGGTGAACTTTACCAGGCCCTTGCTAACTATGTGTACCACGACATGGCCCCCGCGTTCATTCTAGAGAGTGCCATATTTGGTATTATCGTCCAATATTTGCAGAACAAATGACCTGGGCTAACCTCGTACACAGGAATGGCGTCATTATCTGCGTCCGACGAGGTCGTCACGTCGAACGTGGAATTGATAGGATGGCTTCCTTTCTTGTTACCGGAGGAGTCGACGGTCCATTGGTGATACATGCCCACGAATGAGCCGTTGGTCAGAGCAGAGACACCTGAGGATACGACGAGGGTGATCATTTTGTTTACAGCTTCGTGGAGCCAGTCGAGTTTACCGGTGTAGACGACGGTGGA